CGGGTGGAAAGAACTACTGTGCATTAAAAACAAAACCAAGCTAAGAATGCTAGTGATAGAGTCAGAGGAGAGGTACGCTCAGGATGAACAGATGACGCCTGAAATCACAAAAAAAAAAAAAGAAAGAATTATCCGGAGATTAAAGTCATAGCCTGTGGCTCCCGAGATTCTCAATTTTTACTTTGTCGCAGACTGAAATGGAAGGCAAGTTTTATCTAGTAGTCTAAGTCTCAGTTCTCCAACATAAAATGGATGCAATACCACGCCCCTTCATCACGGGAAATGTTCATTTGCTACTATAATGTAGGAATATATAAGTACACAGATACATCATATGGGATTGTTTGCTTGGAGAATACCTTGAGTATAAAACCAGAAAAAAGCCACTGTTAAATAACACTACAGGTGTTTTCTCTTAATTTGTTTAGCATCACGTAGACTGAAAATATTCCCTTTATTTGATGCTTGGGAGACCAAGGATCAGATGATAATACCCAAAAGTAACATGGGGCTTGGTCCATATAAATTAGTTTCTCCTACTGGCTAGCTGTTGATATGAAAATATTTGTTTCACTTTTGCTCAGTACTTCCAAATACATTTAAAATATGTAAACCCCTGTTTTCCTATTTAGATTTACTTATTTCCTTTAAGATGTACATTAATAAACTAACCCATCCTTCCTCACCAAAATGATTACAAGTATCTGACCATTGCACGCATACAAAATAAATGATTCTTACCTGAATACATTTCTCCAGCATCACTTCCATGCACTACTTACACTACACATACATTTAAATAAATAAAATATATATATATATGCATAAAGGTGAGTGCAAAGATTGAATAACTTTGTTCTAATCATACTGTTCTTTAGCACAGTACAGGGGTCAGGTGCCCAAGGACCATCCTGTACCTGCATGGTGGCAGACACACAGAAGAACATCACGGATTATTTACTGATACACCTCAGAGAACTGCAGGAAACAAGAAAGTTCTCCATTTTCTGAACACACCGCCCCCCCAAAATAACTGCAGACTCTTCTCTAACGCCCTTCTACGGTGTCCTAGAGCTCCAATACGCAGAGCAGCATATCGACAAGGCAGTCACATCTAAGGGGAGCATTTATTTAAACTCCGAAATCCTCAAAACTAATAGATGCTCCGGAAATTTGATTTTCTCCACAATAGTCGTATAGGTAGACTGATGGAACCAATTGCATGTTAATAAACCAGATGGACTTTCAAATATCCAACACACAAAAAACAGCCCAGTGGACATGTCAGGTAGATAAAATCCCTCACAGTGGTATTTTCAAGCAGTGGATGGGATATAAATTCTCAAATAGAGGTCTAAAGATGTCATATGTGAATAATCTATGAAGGACTGACTCAGACCTCCTGACAATAACAGATTCAAAGGCAGAATTATCCTCAAAATCACATTGGAGATTTTCAGGAAAGAGTTGAGGAGTAAAGATTGAGAACACTTGCATTCTTCTTTCCTCTTCTGAATCTATTATAGATGAATGTCAGTCTTCGGCAAATCAATCATAGCACCATTCACAGGTTTTAGATTGATATAGGAACACCTAAAAGTTATTTTAAAAGGGCAACGTGGAGTCAAGCTCTGCAGGTTATACCATGGAAAATAAAGGCAAGAATGAAATGCCTACACCACAAGGGAGAATATTTATGCTTGCTGAGGCTTCATCTTTTTTTTTGGTAACAGGACAAAATAGATCAAAGAATATCTAAGTTTATATTATTCCTATTAGTTCATATGAAAGTATCTTCATGGTTATCTATAGATCATTAACAAAGTGAGTTCACGATCATTAGTTTTACAAACAACCTCATCTAAGGTTTTTTTTTTGTTTTACATCAACCTCATCGTGAGCACCGGGGAACGTCAGAAATGTCTTAATGTTGAAAGTGACTTTGGATTCAGCAAACCTGCATTCCAGATGAATGGAAATACAATGAATCTTATTTTCAATATTCTACAGTATTAGTCTAAAAATGATCTGGCAGAACACACTCCATCTGTATGCTGCTCTGACGACCGCAGCATGAAATGCCACAAGACGAAGTCACATAACTACCTTAGGTATAGATACCACTTGACAGTCACACCCCCGCCACGTACTCCAACTCATCAGCCCCAGCACATAAGAGGAAATATTAAGTATAATTACTGTTATAGTAATTTCTTTTCATCTTCGCGGTTTGGGAGGACTATAATAAAAACCCAGAGCACTGCAGAGCAGAAACTGTCAGGTTGATGAGACAAGGGGTCGACCTATTCCTGCACAGTGAAAGACCTGAATATCAGAGGTTTTATAAGAAGGTGTGAGGAAAATCTATTTCAGACTGCTTTCAAGTACCTTTTCAGACCCATCTCAGGCAGGCTGGGATATGAAAGGCCAGCATGCAAAAGGGAAGGGATCTAGGAAAGCATGGTCATGTCTACAAGGGAGGCCAGGAGAACAGGCATCCTACCAGCATGCTGCATCATGCGGGTCCCCTCCAGTGACCTCTGCACCACCTCGCTGCTGCGCCCCAAGATTTCTCAGGCATTTCTCTCGAATCTGAGTTTGCATTAATGCCTTCAGTAACTGAACAGAGGATGGCATCAGACTGACAGGGGCTATAAGTCATTTAAGTTTGTACCAGAATTTTAAAGCATTTAAATATTTGAAAATATTTTTTATCATATTTAATAGAGATGAATGGAAAATACTGTACTTGTGAAGGAGAAATGAAACCCACAAAAGCAAAAGGCGGAACAACTAACCAGACAACAACAAAGATAATCTATGGATCTCAGCTTGAATTAAAAAAAAACCCAAAACAACACTGAGGAGGAAGAGGAGGAAAATACACCTCATTCTTGTGTGTTAAGAGTGTCACAAGCAGTTCACAGTATGTTGTTGTTCTAATCTGGTGAGTGCTGTTGAGGCTTCTGAGGGAATGCTACCTGCTTTTGGATATGGCATTTTGAGAGAATTTAAACAAATTGGAGAATGTGCAAAATAGAGCGAAAGAAAAGGGAAGAGGCTGGGAAAATCTAAGGTTGAAATAACTGGATTTGTTGAGGTTAGACTAAGAACAGACTAGATGGATATACAGAGAAAGGTATTCACTCATTCTGAGGCTGTCATAGTTAACAAAAAGCTAAAATTCTCCCCAGGATCTCCTCCCTCTCATCCCTGTCCATTCTGGTCTTCACATACACATCTAAGTCAATGAAATGGGCTCATAATGGGAAGTATTTACATGCTCACTTAGATGTGGCATGTAAATATTGCACTCTCTGCAAATGTGCCTATAATAGACTACAATGCAATTAAAGAAACCAGAGCGAAAATTTATAAATATCTCTACCAAGTATTTTAGAACAGACGCATTCGCTGGAAAAGGCATTATTCACTGAATGCTGTTAAAGTATAGTAAATTGACTTCACGAAAAAATCACAAGACTTTTCAATAAAAAGACAAAATAGCAACACTTTTAAGATAGCAGGTGGTAAAACGAGATACAGGAATGTTCCCCCATATAAAGAAATAAAACAAAACTGAGCTGTGTGATTTTACTGCTCTTTTCCAGCAGGGAAACATCCCTAAAGGACTCAGAAAATAGGCTTCTAAATTCGCTCATATGGAGTACCAGAGATTGAAAGGGAAACTTTAAATTACATTACTCAGAAAAACTAGAAAGGGGATGGTGTTTTCAGGAGCAGAGTTTTTGCGTGAGAATATCAATACAACTTGGGGGCAAGCCGTGACATGGGTTGGACACCACGTGACATGGGGTGGACCAAATGATACGGGATGTTTAATTAAATCTGAGCAATTTGCTCCTGAATACTTAGTGGGACATCCTTCAAAAACACTAAGAACCTGTCAGCAGGGCGTAGAAACTCAAGTCACTTTGAAAGAAGGGCTATGGATTTTTAAAATACCACTCACCGGAAAAATGTCAAAACTCTCTTGTGAAAACTGGAGGTAAAAGCCTGAAGAGCCTACGGGGAGGTAACGCCTGCTGGATACCTCTGCAAAGCAGTATCCACTATTTTTATCATAAATGATTCTAATTCCTGCTCTCAGCTGAGGAGACTGGCAGGATGAACAACCAACTGGCACTTCTGCCAGCAACAGATAAGGCAGTGCCAGCGCAGAAGGGAAGTTTATTCATCCGTGTTGGTGCCTTTCACTATATACAAATTCACATTAATGGAAGAGAACAATGAAGTACAGACCTCTCTAAGTTGTGTTTCCACAGTCAGGGAGCGATCTGCAGCGGTCTGTCCCATTTCAGCATCTCGTCATTAAGAACAGGACCCAGCTCAGGGACAGTCAGAAATGTTTGCTGCAAGGTCCTTGCTCTATTCCGTGGGTGCCTGTGCAGCTCCCTGCCCCCAAATCCTCTGCTCTGCCAGTGGAAACTGCTTGTCCACATCTGGCCAAGCCTCACTAAACCAGAGTTCATCTTTTCTGGACCAGATTACTACGTCATTCCACAACCAGCCCAGGCGCAACAGCTGGATTAGAACATGAAGATGTGAGGTTAGAGCCACAATCTGAACAAATGCATCCACAAGCATTAATAGGGCATTCATGGGGTAGTTACAAAAAGGCCTGGTCCGTCATGGAAGAGAGAGCAGGAGATGGAGGCCTGAAGCCTTCTCCACCTTCGCACAGTGATGCTCAATTCACAGCATCACAGTACCCAGCCGCACGTGCCGCTGTACTCCAGTGCTGCAAAGGCACTGAAGTGATGCTGAAAGAGCACCAACCCCATACCATGCTAGCAGTAATCCTCCCGGAGGTTAACAGCAGGAGGCAAGTAGGCTGAGGTGTTTATAAAAGGAGACTGTGAAAGGCAGCATCAACAGCAGAGCTGGCCTTTTAGTCAGCGTTCACTTTCAGCAGCTAGGTTATCAGATGAGAACGAGAGAGGCGTGAGCAAAGTGCAAAGAGAAGACGAAACACCTACCTGACAGGTGCTCCTCGGGACTGAGCGGGCTTCAGCATAACGGTGATGGTAGTGTCAGTCTCATTCAGGGGGGAGTCCGTGTCATATTCTGGCATCGACGGTGCTACAGCACAACAAAGAACAACACGTTAGTTATGTGCCAGTTACTGCCTTTGGTAGTGATGGCAACGCAATATTAACATTTCTTGGAGACCGTTTAACATTTCTCAAATGAAACATCAAAATACTTCCCAATGTTATGACCAAAATTGTCAAAACTGCTTAAATATTTGTATGCTCTTTTCCTACTAAAATTAAAGAGGAATTGGACACCCAGATCTTCAAGCTGGCTTTGAAAATACTGTCTTGAATTTTTACAGCTTAGTAATCCTTTGAGATGAGATCATTCCTCCAATTTTAAAGGCGAAGAAAGAAAACCACACAGGCGTTAAAAGATACCACTTAGGATGAGTGAATCAGTGGCAGAGCTAAGTCTAGCACTCAGGAAACCCAGCTCGTGTTCACTGTTCTGGTCACTGGATTAGACCTCCACGTCTTAGAAAGAGTTCTTAATACACAGACTTAGGCTGTGTCTCCCTGATTAGCTGGAGGGTGCGTTATGAAGCACGAAAGCATGGTGGAGCATGAATTAGCCAGGTTATGTGAGCACCCAAACCCACGGCATTTTACCCCAGTGCTTTAGTGATGTTGAACTAACAGGGAGCTGCACGGCGTGCTTTGGCAGTACCCCGCACAGCATCCCCATCGCTTTGCTGACATGTTCCCCAAATCAATATGGAAAACTACTGAGTATTTAGACTTAGCCAAAATCTAGTTTCTACTTCTGCTTTGTTATCTTCTATTTGGATCATTTCATGAAAGCAGGATAGGTTTCCTCAGGAAACACACTTTACTTATTATGTTACTTCTCTCTTCCCCAATACCAGACATCTCTTTGGGACATAATTTTTACTGTGCAAGAACTGAAGAGATCGTGAGATCAGAGCAGCATCAAATTTCTTCCAAAGACACAACTTTTGTTGAAATATCTTTTAAAGTATAAAGCAAACGGAAAAATTCACACAAATAGTTCATCTCACAAGGGCAAGCTGCATTGCGGGGGTCCCATATATAATCCTCCCATAGCAATTTTATCTGTAATCCTGTTTACAATCAGGATTTTTATCTAAATGCCTGAAAAGTGTCAAGAATGCTTGTTGCTAACATCGGCTCAGCTACCGACTTCCCTGTCAATAAGCTGGCAATGAGTTCAGAATGAATGCCAATTCCTTAATGAGGATTACTCTGAAAACAGTGCTCTGCATCAGGGGGAAGCAGTGAGAGTCATTTAAAGAAGACGCATGTCACCAGCCATCTTGTATACCAGAGAGCACTGCAGTTGCTGGAGATGCCACAGCGAAAATTGTTCAGCACCTGCTCTGGCCAGAGGGGATGGTGCTGCTGCACAACACAGCACTACAAAAAGGTTGCAAGGCCAGTTTGGACACCAGAAACAGGCTGGGCTCTGTTCCGCCTCCTTTGAAGCAGCTTCTTCTAGCCTAACTGCAGTGCTGCACTGGTGCCACTAAATTGTTTCTGATACGCTAGCTAGCTCAGGTGTCTCCTTCTGGTTCTGCATGAGACCTGTTTAATTATCTTCTGTGTAAAACAGTGCACCTGCCACAGAGAATTTACAAGCTTGCTTTCAGACACCATATAGTTAAGAAGTAAACGCAAGAAACATAAGTCTTGGCAGGACTAGCTAACAGTGTTCAGTATAATTCAGCGATCAGAGTCTGTATTATTCTGAAGTCACTGAAATAAGATATGGTAGTTTTCTTGTGTACTCAACACACTTGTGTTCTGTTAAACAATAAAACTACTCTAATAAAACTACAACTGCCAGTGATCTCTCTAAAATAGCAAGCACTGATCGACAATTTGATGCCTATTTTGCAAGACGCCAGTCCTGCCCAAAGAGAAGTTGTCAGGAATCCTGCCGTTTAATTGTGATTAAGACATAAACAAACTTGTACACCCATATAAACACATACACTCACACATTGCTACAGCATAGATGTCTTTTCATTTTAAAACACATATAGTCTTACAAGGACATTCCAGCCAACACAAAAATCCCTTCTCCCTACTGACCTTGGGACTGCCTCTTAGAGCAAGTTCAACAGTAAGGTCCAAACTACATGTATAGGACTGACCGTGCACTAAGATAATCTAATGTCAGCAGCTACCCGAATGCCTGCATGGAGTCAGTGCCTACCCATTGCAAACCAGATGTCTGGAAGACAGGGAAAAAAAAGATGATAAACCAAGCTCAGAGTGCATACAGTTCATAATCACACAGGCTTCTAATAAAACTTGAACACTCACTGAATAATAAAATGGAAATAAACTGAATCAGAGGGAGAAAACACTACGATGACTGTGCTGCTTTACTTCTCTGGTCACAAGCGAACCGAGTGCATGCCCTGCCTTCCCCTCACGGCAGGGCTGCATAAACCCCAACAGCCCGCGGAGCTGCTATGGCAGTCAATGGCTTTACTTCAAGTGGCTGAGACACGGGCTTCTGCAGTAAATGTTAAGGGTTTAACCCTGCTGACGGTTAGCGGAGGGAATGGATATATTTTACTTCCTTAAAATTTACACTGTCACTTACTGCTAACAACTTATTTTTATTAACCAATTTTGAAATGGGGCAAGGGAGAATATGCACTGTTGTGCACTCTCTTCCATGGCACCCAGCCATAATTTCAAGCATTACAAGTGTCCTGAGTGTCCCAAATGTTTATTTTGCTTTACTGAAAAAACAGTTAAGGTATTCCAAAAACGTCAGTTTTAAACTGTTAGAGAACCTACTTTAGTGCTATCAATTAAATGTTAAAATTGAAGTCTACATATGTCTGCCCAATATAATCTCTACCGTTCCTTTATCCATCTTTTTTTTTGACAGCTAGCCTAAGTTTCCCTTATTTTCTAGACACATGTGCCTTCCCTTTGCAATGGCTCCTGATTTTAGTGCCTTTCATCTACTTGTCTGTCTACCTTAAGCCCTCCCTCTGCCCTTACTCAGAAAGAACACGCAAAACCAGCTTTCCTCCTTTATTTTTAGTCTCCTTGCACTATTAATTCAATTACTTCATTACATCCATTTTGGTGCATTCTGAAAATAAAAGCCATATTATTGGAGAAGCTTCCCCAGCCATGCAGATAATACTAACAATTATTATAGGGATAGTTCATTTGCTGAAATAATGAAGGTTCTCATTTAAAACGCTCCACAAAGATACTCATGGATACTTAAGATATCCAGAAATTAACCACTGCATTTGTCACTTGAACAAACACAGATACTGGATTGTGGCTGTTTTAAAAATTTGCCCTATGAAACTTGTAGAGACAGTAAGCTAAACACCTTTTTATTGTTTTATACATCAGCTGCAGGTCTAAAGAACAAAGGCCTAGAAAGTTCCTTCTTCTTCTCCAAAGCAGTACCTGAAATCTTAGTTGCAATCCGTGTTGTGATGGGTGGCCCAAAGCCCTTGACTGTGCTGGCTTTGATGGTGAATGAATACGTAGTCCCTGGGTACAATCCTACAAAGAGGTGATGTGTTTCATTCCTTAGTTTGAAGACTTTCCCTCTTTGGCTGGACAGGTCAGCACTGGGATCCAGAGATCCAACGGCCTTGTATGTAATCTGCAAATGAAGAACAAGGAAAGTAAGGTGATAAGGGGCCTTCTGCACCTGGCCTTTCTCTGCTCCCCTATTTTGCCATCTCTTGAGACTAGACATTGAAAATACAAAGCCAAGTTTTATTTCAGTATCTCTGGTGAGCAGTTCTGTATTTGGATGCTGTCAAACAAACATGACAATTTTTCCAAGGCTTTACTTAAGAAAAAACTAATTTCTTCTCTCCACTGAAACCTCAGCATGTGCCTTTTTAAAACAAACGATACAAAGGACTGCTTTTTGTTCCAAGTCTCAGAACTTCTGCAGCCAAACCAGAGCACACAGCACGACTAGCAGAATTTTCATAAGAATTTCCCACACAATCCCCCACAGCATACAAAAATTTTTGATACAAACATGGATACATTTTCCATCAAGAATTTTTTCCTTCTGGCAAATGGTCTTCTCAAAAGGCCGCTGAAAACAATGGGAGCCTTTTACTGGTAACAAAGGTCTTGGAAGTCTTTCCCTGTGCTAAAGAGAATATGCCAAAATGAAATATTGAAATGAAATGATATGTTTAAATGAAATAAACATCACCAAGTCTTTAGACAAAAGCCCTTCTTTTCTCTGAGTCCATAAGCCAGCTTCTGATACCGTTTTTCCCTCCCCCTGTTTTTAGCCTCAGTTTGCGGGTTCACGTGTGGTACCATGTCTGGTTTTCGCCCGAGAGAAAAAGTCAGCAGGGTTACTGGCCTGGGGAGCCGTTCACGAACAGGCTCGCTGTTGGTGCTAACACACCTTTAGAGGAACCCAAGCCGAAAGCACACCTTTGAAATTCTGCTGGAGCTCCATTACGCTTACCCATGGCCACCCTGTTGATATACAGACACTTGCAAGTAAGACTCATGACTTATTTACCAGCCAATTCCTTGCCTGTGTTCCAAATTCAATCCAAAGGCAGCTCAATTTCAACTGAGCTGTCAATATAATATAATGTGCTCCACTGCTCTCCTAACCTTTCCTGATATTATGGGATCCTCGCTTATTTGTAATGAAACACTATGAATAAATCAATGTATGTTAATACACGAAGTCTTCAATTTTTTATGAAGGACTCCACAAGAATCTAATTCCCAGCTTTGTTGAAAAAGCCTTTGAAAATTTTTAAGTCGCTTGCTTTATGACAGGAGGAAAATGTTGCATTTTGAGAAAAAATACATATACAATGTTTAAAAAGGGGGGCTTTAACAATAACAGGATAAATAAAGAGACAGAGACTGATGCTACTGACACCAGAGAAGGGTGTGAGCATGTGAATCCTATTATTCGGACACAGAAGAACAATTTAGACAGAGCTGACACCCAAGACAGAAGCAGCACAACAGAGAACGGCTGTGAATTACACCCAGGCCTACAGACCAGCAAGACATTAAAAAAGCAGAACTCCTAAAGGAATTGTAACTGAACAGCTTGCAGGTGATTTCAGTGAAAACGTACTAATTTTTCCAGGAATTACAACTTGGTTTTAAATTTTTATTACTTACCAGAAACCTGAGAAAGAGAGAGATCTTAGCATAATGGTCATTAAAACAAAAGAATTAAATGCAGGGAGGAGAAATCTTCACACTCGCTCCGTCTCCTTCGGTAAGGTGAGGACCACGCAATGCAGCACGGCACGGGACAGTATTTTGACAGCTCTTATTGCATCAAGGCACTTCAAGGCAAGAGAGTGTAAAAAGACCATCGCAGTTAGAGTGAGGATCAGAGACTCTAAATTAAGAGACACGACCCAGTCAATGCCATAGCCAATTCCAGAAAGAAAAATGTATTTATTCTGTTATGTAGGAATGAACTGATGCAATCTGTATGCTCTATTTGCAAATCAAGTGCTAGAGAAATAGCAATTCTATAAAATGTCAAAGGAGAATAAGCAAATTAGGAGTTTGGGAAAAAGAAAGGGAACGTCCTACTGCTGGGCCACTGAAATCCACATTCACAGGACGCCAGGTAGCAGCCCATGCAAAATCAGTGGTATTTATTTTCAAGTACATTATCCAGAAGGCTATAAGGGGAAGATGCACTTATCCTTGATCTGCATATAAATAAAAGTATTCAGCTACCTTCACCAGTTCTAAAATCATTACACAATGAGTTATTTTTCTTCATTTAAAAAACCCTATCTCCTTAAGACAGAAAGAAAGGCTGTCAAGAGAGGAAAAAACCAAGGAAAGTCACTGATTTTTAAAAAATAGTCTCTTTTTCTGTCGACTATACCACTGAATATAAGCGCATGGGACCATAAAACGATCTTGTTTCAACCAATGAGAAGTGAGGACTGAGAGAACTATACTTAAGAGAAAGTACGTCCACGATTTGAGATTGATGTTCGGGTCAATTTTTTTAAAGACTGGTCACTCAAATCAGAGTTCACTATTCCTCAAAACATTTTTAGGATATATAAACTACAGTAAATTTGGCATAGCCAAATTGTGAGATGACTGCTACTGCAGCAGATTCTCTCTTCCAATAGATGTGAACCCTGTTAAACCAAGTGATGTCCAGACATTCCGAGAAAGCAAACCTTGTCCCCAAAACGTAACATTTGACTTTAATATATAAACAGTACACGAATGCAACACAGAGCATAGGAAAGCAATAGCACAAATCGTGCACCTGGTCCAGTTTCACTCAGTCCTTAAGGTAAACTATTCAAGGGACTGGTAAGCATAACGACAGACACAGCCAGCTACCTGAGCTTATTGCTCTCATCAGGGTTAGTCTCAAACTCTGCTCTGCTTTCCACAAGAGCAGCTCTAAATGACTGAAGTGGTGAGAAAGAGAGCCAGACCCTGTGGGCTGCATGCCCACCTCTGCTGATGGCTTTCACCACAATCAGGAGAAGCTGATGTTCTCCGAGTGTCCATTTTGCCATTCATAAAATGAGGGCTATGGCACTCCTCTACACAAACATTTCTGTGACGGAGGGATTCTACGGATCTCTAACAGCCGAGTGCTGGTGGTTAAGCAGCAAAGCCACAGGTGAAACAGATGAAGTAGCCCCAAACCCAGAGTACTCCATTTGGAAAAGGAGGCAAATTCTCTTGCAGCTCAGGAAAAAAAAGAGAACCATTTTTCCGTTCCAAGTAAGGTATCTGCTTGTTTCTTAGCTATTAGCGCTACCCCAAGCGTGGATTAACATCTGAGAGCTCTGTCTCAGTCGGTTCCTCTACGGTCCTCCCAGCAGAGCTAAAGCAGCTGCAACTTCACTGTTGTTGGCTGCTCTTGCCGGCAGAGCCTCCTGGAGTGCTGGCGGTCTGCTCCCCGCTGACCCGGCACACAGCCAGCTGCTCAAGCCATAGGCTCCCCATCCAGCCATGTAACATTTCTCAGCACCAGGATCATCTCCATTTACTGAAGTTGTTGATATTTCCTCTCTGGATTAACTGAAATGTGCTACACCGTATGCGTTTGTGGGTGTGTCTGTGTCAGGGGATTTCTCCTCTAGAAAGAACAGATGCTGTAATATATCACTTACATGTTGGTTTTCATGTATAAATGCACCACGTATCAAATAACAACCAGGTGAAATGAAGACACTAAGAAGTTGTCACTCTTCTCCTTCAATAATTTTTAAAAAAAGTTCTTAAGAGAAATTTCAGGGAATCAGACATGGAAAAATTTTCAAGAAGAGACTACAGAAATTTCCAACTCTGCAGTAATTTCTAAATGCACAGAAACATGACTGGAGAAGGAATACGTCACTTTCCTGGAATACGAAGGATGATAAAAAAACACCTGCTCTTCTAGTTGATATGCTGAGTATTTATCTTAATTTCTTGTTCCAAGTGTCAAACCATTTCATTACAAAACGAACAAGAGATTCTAATCTAGAAAATGAGATGACTCAATCACTAGTAAGCAGCTGTTCTAAATTATTTTACAATAATCTATTTTAAAGACAAGCCATATAATACTTCTGAATTCTGTAAAAAAAAAAGAAACTATAATATTAATTTAAATGTTTAAAAATCTAGACAGAAAACAAACAAGAAAATACTCAAAAATATATTCAAGATTTTCACTCTGATTGAAAATATTGAAAATATTTGGTTTTATTCTGATGCAGAATAAATGCAAATACAAACATGAGGAAATTTCTCACAAGACTGAAACTCTATGTTTTTTAACCAGCTCCCTGGTTATCTCCCAAACAGCAGGCAGCTGTCACAAGTTGAAAGTTGCCTCTGCAAACTGGAACGGTTGTCCTGAGTTTGCATATGTAATACACAGTTTACATATTGGGTCCAGGGCAACTTGATGGTCCCAAGGAAAAGTTTCAGCAGCCAGCATTGCTGTGGTTCTAATCACAGCACACACTGCTGCAGGCTAAACTATAGCAAATCCAAGAAATATATATTAATAAATCTAAAATTTTCCTTGGAATCTCCTTCTCTCAGTTACTGAAAGGGTTCTCCAACTGAAGCAAAAACAGCAGCAAATTTGAAGTAACCAGAAAGCCAGACGGAACTCAGAAGGGTAGAGAACAGCCACATTCCCACCAGGACAGGAGGGACGAAACACTGAGCCCAACGTCCATCCACCTGGACAGGAATGATTTACCCAGGAGGTGCACAGACGACTCCAGTTCCTGGTCAACTCCGCAAAACTTGGCTACATGAGCCCAAATTCTTTCTAAGATGTAAAACAGGTCAGCAGTACAAGTTCAACTTTACTGGAAACTACAAAAAAAAAGGCTTTATATAGTTAATTTCCAAGTGTTCAGTGATATATAACTGCTGTGACAGACTATGGAGAATAAAAGCAGATCAGAGTAAGGAACAGGACGGTGAGTGAGCTCAGTCCTTGTTATTGAAGCACACACCCAACCTACGCCAGTGCACCCTCGGTCCCCATTAACCAGAAGCACCCTCTTTTATTCCATCTCTGGTTTTTATCCATTTTAAAAGTTCAGAATATTAACTCCTTGAAATCAGTGAGCAAATACTACGTTAACAACCACAAGG